TCTTTTTAAAGCATGCAGCCATCTTCACAGACGGCTGGAAGTTCGATGGGAGGGTGGAAGGTGGAGTTAATTCTCCCGTGCTTTTAGTAAGCATGAGCATTAGAATACCGTGTCATTGCAACGCTTTCCAGGCGGAACTGTTCGCAATCATGGAGGCTGCGGAATGGTTGCACAAATCTACGGCAGCAGGACAATCAGTAACAATCTACTCCGATAGACAGTATGCAATCAGATATTTTCAATGTAACGGTACCACGTCAAAAGTGGCCTTAAACTGTAGAAACACTCTCAACGAAGTACACTGTACACAGTCGTGGTCTGAGTATCTGGACACAGGGACATCCCAGGCAATTGCGCGGCAGACGAACTCGCAAGAGAATAAACCCTTCTATCTATGATGCTGGTTTACCTCCATCCTCGACTAAGTACATGCATAAACTGGGATTCACCAGGGAAGGTGACGCATGTTGGTTGAACGAGAATACGTGTAACTCGAAAAAATCTAAACATCTTATCCTTCTGGACCGGTTCCCTATTAGAACAGCCACGGGAATAGTATCTGGACAATGTGTTATGGGCTTCACGGGATTAGGATGGGCCTTTATTCTAACGATTTCTGCCGCGATTGTAGGGACGAAGAAAAGGAGGAGACCATTGAGCACTACCTCTGCCACTGTCCAGCCTTGACAAAAGCGCGACACTAGGGGCCTCAGATGTATCACAATAGGCCTATTTGCTTATGTGTGCTCGCGTTTTTGACCAGCAGCCGCACCAACTCAACTCAACTCTCATGCAGCGTATAATAGGAATTTTATTATATTAGCTCATTATATTGGAAATACTTATACTATTTTTGAAATCTTTATGAAATCCTACGGATATTCTAAGTACATATTTTACAATTTCGACCCGATTTTATTTATTTAAAAAAATTTCAAAGGCAGTGGACGCGCTTAATGCCACTTCATATTCTGCCCAAAAACTCCACCAAATATAAATACTTCCATTATTGCCATTATTTAGATTCAAGAATTTTATTCGAAGCAATTGTTTTGGCATTCACTAGCAACTACTTTTATGTGCTTCCCTAAACAAGCCACTCACTGTTCCACCACCCGAACAATGCGTCCATTGTTAAAGTAAATGCCTGAGTTTAGTCATTGCCCCATTTTTATGGACTTCATTTGATTATCACCCTCCTAAACAAGCTAAGTTTTCTATGGGCGATTAACAATGGCGTGTGCCAAAGAAAATGGGAGAAAAAAAATATGAATAACAACAATAAGTAAATTATCTATTCAAACCATCAACCAACATTGTCGTCGGCGTTCGACGAGTATTTCGCGTGGCGGCCGGCGGCCTTTATTTGACGGTGTCGCGTGCGCTTCACACGCTTTTAATGAGTAAATGACGCCGACTCGCGTCGCTGCTGGTCAATTACAAATTTCAAATGCGAATTACAATCAAAGCAAAACGTAAGACAATAGTTAGCTACTGGAATGTACATACATATATATATACTTATTACATACAAACACATTCCGTATGTATGAGTGACGTCAATGAGCTGCAAAATCTGAATGCGGAGGGGCGGAAGCAAAGCTCAATGTGGGGATATTTTAGAACAAAGTATGGATGGAAAGCACATAAGGAAAATACCATGCAAATAGAGGCTTATCAGCGCGTAAAGTTCAATAATCGGTTGGGGTCGGTCGATCGGTCGGAAGCAGCTTATGCCGCTGCCACTGATTCTAGCGGCTGATAAGATAAATCATCAGAGACTTTTTGCTGCATTTAATTACATTATGTGGTCGAGTTAATTGTTTGTGGAAAATGTGTTGTTGTTGTTGTTATTATTGATGCTATTGCTATATGCGATTGTGTGATAAGCATTTAAGCATTTATTTGTATATTATAAGCTATTTTATTTATTATTTAATGACATTAAGCGACACTATGTGGGCGGGTGTATTTGTTGTTTGCGTTGTTGTGCTTGCAAATGAATTTTTAATAAATACGCCCACAGTCTGCCGAATGGTTTAATATATAATACAAACATAAATACATATATACACTGTTTGTTAGTTTGTTTGTTGTTGTTGTGTTTATAAAAGTTCAGTCGCGTTAATTTTGCGGTTCATTTGTAGCGTTGCGTAATCGATAAACATGCATTGCTGATCCATCTGCTACGCTGCATGCCGTTGCATAATTGTGACATGTGCGGCGCAAGCACTTTGATGAACACAAATTCCCGTTGCAAATATTAATTAATGGCTTAACAAGACAAAAGCTTATAATTACGTGTATGATAAATTTTAAATTAGAATGGTTTGATCATAAAATTTGCTTTGGATTTTTGGACATATGGACGACGTTTCGTTGGCGTTTTAGATTCAAAATAAAATATGTATGTGCAGTTAGAAAAAAAAATATAGAATAATTTTTGAAATATTGGTGGTTTGATAATATTGACTTTGAGTGAGTTAATTTTAATTAATTTGAAATTGATATTATAAATAATTTTATTATTCGTTAGACATTTTCGTCACAAGTACGAAAAATGTGTTCTTAATGCCGTTAAAATTTGATAAAAAGCCATGGCTCATAGACTGCCGCAGCATTAGTTGATAGTTTCAGCATTATCATATAAATATGTATGGTATTAAGTCAAATTTAATAAAGCGCTTGTAACTATACTTAAATATTAAAATGCACTTTAATGCTGCTTTCTTTCAAACTCTTGAATTTCTAATATATAATAAATTTAGGTTAATTATCTGTGCATTAGTTATATTAACTCTGTTTAAATACAGTTAAAAATTTACTAATTAAATATATTTCTTTTAATTGTGTGTATGAGCAGAGTAGATCTGGATTAACTGGCGCGTTAAGTGAGTTAATGTGCATTAAGAAAGTTAATGTGCATTTAGTGAGTTAATGAACATTAAGTAAGTTAATATGCATTAAGAAAGTTAATATGCATCATATAACTTAATCTGCACTAACTATATTACTATTATATATAGCAACTGACCGTACATTTGGAGATTTCAAAAGTTTACTCACTTATTTTACCTTATTTCATTTTATTTAACTTAAATATATATATTTTTTATTATATTATTTAGTTTATTTCAATTTTATTTTTTATATTATTCAATTTTATTTGATTTTACTTTATTTAATTATATTTAATTCAAATTAATTCAGTTTTATTTCACTGAGTTTAACTTTATTTTATTTTGTTCTATTTTATTTTATTATTTTGTTTTATTTTATTATATTGTTTTGTTTTATTTTTTTATTTTATTATATTTTATTTCCCGTAACTTAGATTTATTTAGTTTAATTTAACTTATTTCATTTTACTTTAATAGATTTTATATTTTTTTTTTAGTATTTAACTTTATTTTTTAATGTATTATATAAATACTATTTTAGTTTAGTTTAATTATATTCTATTTCCTTTAGTAAAGCTTTATTTAATTTCAGTTCATTATCATTATTTTGTTTATTAATTTTTTCGATTCTACTGTATTTGATTTTATTTTGATATTTTGTTCTATTTATTTTAAAATTTAAATTATTATAAATTCTATTTAGTTATATTTTATTTCATTTAATTTTAATTTTATTTAATTATAATTTTGATTTTAATATCATTTTATTTTGCTATTTTTTATTCTTTTTAATTTCTTTTAATTATTTTTTTTTGTATTTCAGTTTAATTTTTATTTTATTTCATTTCATTTATTTTTTTTTGTCTTATTTTATTTTACTTTAATTATTTGTTCACTAACTTAGTGATTATTTTTTTAATTTAATTTATTTAGTTTATTGATTTATTTATTTATTTCAATGATTTAATTAAATTCAATTTTTTGTTTTACATTGTTTTGTTTAAATATATTTTGTTCCATTTCATTTTAATTTAATTATTAATTTGGATGATTTATTTAATGATTAATTTTTATTTTATGTTATTTGGTTTAAATATTTTTTTTCATTTAATTTTAATTATACGTAAATTTAAATAATCATTTGCACCGAAAATTATCGAAATTCGATATATTCATGAAACGTTTAAGGATTTTCCCGTGAACCACCCTCTTTCTTTCATTTAAAGCAGCTGGCCATTCACAATAGTGCTAAAAAAATCCAAATCAGGTTGTCAAATCGTGGGCAAACAATTTAATTAAATTCACCAAAATTCCGTACATTACTTAGAGTGAGAAATTCACCAAAAATGTAGAATTAAAGCAGCTAAGTCGCATTAGTTCCACCGTCTGTCTGTGCTACTAAAAGCCTTATGTGCATTATGATACACTTACAAAGAGAGTTGTGCTTAATACGTTACGAAGTTATTTTTTCTCGTAAATTTTTTTCCAAAAATAATAAATGATTTTATATTATATTAATTTCATAAACTTTGTAATGTGCAATGGCTTGAGATATTTTACCGGAAAAAATTTAAATTTTTTTGCAATAACAACCGCGTGTTCTCTTTAAACGGGTTTTTTACTTAGTGGTTTTAGAAGCCTTTATAGATAAATATTGTATCTCTTTGTGAAAAATTAAAAAAAAATTAATACTACTTTCTAATCAAAAATTGCACCGGTTGAATGAAATAATAAGCTGCAATTGACGTTAATAAGCCACTTGAGACATACCACGAATTTTCTAAAACGTCATACCCATTAAAACGTTCACAATTTAGAATTTTTGAAAACTTTGAAACTTCGAAAATTTCCACTTAATTCTAAATAATCATTTGTTGAACTCATAATTAAAAAAGTTCGAATAACAGAAATTTACTACCATAATGTACATACAAATGTATAAAAATTCAATGAAATTCCTTTATAGGAAGTCACAAAATATTTTTGGTTTTTGAATTCAAAATTTTATCACTTTTCATAATAAACTACATCGTTAAGATTGGTGTTACTCATCACATACGTACGTATATATGTATGTATAAGTACCGAGAAGACACTTACCAGTCGGTCGTCTGAAAGATAAGAAGAAGATAACATTAGATATAATTGAATGCATATAGAAAAGTATTAGATAAAAAATAACAACAGCGTGTAAGCAGTAAATATTACATATAAACATAACTAACCTCTAAAAGAAAATGTGATTGACATTTTATAAAATTTGGGTAACAAAATATAGATGCAAAATTTTGTGATATCAATAATTTTAATATTGTTTAAATGATTTTTAATGTTCTGAAAAATATATAAACAATATTTATTACACTGATTAATGAAAAATGAGAAATAAATATTAGTGTTCAATAATTCAGTCACTCCTCTCGTTACACGAAGCCAAGAACACACCGGATTACCATATTTTAATGCACTTAATGTATGTTTACAAAATAAAGCGAAAAAACTAAGCAAATTGAAATCGATATCGACTAGAAATTGAAAGCTCCAAGGCTTTAATATAATATAATTTCTATTAAAATATTTACAACACAATTTTTTGTTGTTGCTTTCTGCTATCGAATGACAACGCCTTTAATAAACAAACTAAATCAATTGGCAAGTGAATGAGTGAACAAGCATGAAGATAAACAAAAATGTAAATGTATACATGAGAGTACATCTTAACTGACAGATACTCCTAGCAAATATCGAATTACATTAGCCATAAATGTTAATTAACCAGTTTTGAATATTTGAATTACATGGGGATTAGTTCGCCTCGTTTCGTCAGTTTCATGTAGTGCGTCAAATAGACTTTTCACGTTGGAAATAAGCAAACTAGATTTAATATAATTAAGCCAACTAATAAAGAGCGAAAAGCTTTTGGCATTGGTTGAGAGACACTAAATCATCATTACCTATAATTTGGTATCTTAAGCGCTGTTCACACAGACACACAATTAGCTAATTGTAAGCATTTCAGTAATTCAGCGCCTAATGGAGAACAAATTAGCCTCATAAAAAATCGTAAAAAATTGTCTGGTAATTAAAGATTGAACCGGTGGCATATATTCAATGAAAAGAGCGAAATGAAAGTGAAGTCCAAGCAAAAACAATAAACTGCGATATGACAAGTGGGCAGGCGATTTGGATTCGTGTTGAAAACGAGTTGGTGAAGCATCGTTTGTTTTTGTTTAGAAAGGAATTTACCTTCCCCTTATTTTTTTTCTTGACTGGAAGTGTTTATAAATTATAAATCAGGAGCTCAATATTACTAGAAGACTTAACTTTGAATTTCATAGTGCTTGTGCTACGCTTATAATTGAAGAGATGAATTTAATGAAATCTCATAAGGAAGATAAGAGCATTTATTGTGTGCCTTTGTGCGACGATTAGAACCCAAATGTGCTCTGCCTGATCTACAAAAAGGGGGATCCCACAGTCAGTGCCAATTACCGTGGGATAAATCTCCCCAATATCGCTTATTACATTCTATCGAGGTTATTGTGTTAAAGACTATGTCCAACGTCATTAAGCTGTGAACCTTACCAGTGTGGCTTTAGGCTACATAAACCAAATATTGGCCAGTTATTCCTCAAGCGCCAAACCTTGTTATAGAGCCGTGAAAAGAAGACGGTATTACACCACCTCTTCGTTTTTTTGAATTCCGCATTCCGCTTTGTATGAATTTTGTATCTCCACAAAACTTACTATACACCTGTGTAAACTGACGTTAAGCTACCCGATAAAAACTTCGTCAGAAGCGGGGAGGACCTCTCCGAGATACCAAATGAGGTTCAAAACAAGGTGACTCCTTATCATATGACTTCTTTAATCTATACAACTAATGGCATACGCCGATTATATAAGCATTATTGGCCTCAATAACCGCTGAGGGTGTTCTGTTCTCTCCTGACTGGTTAAGGAAGCGAAACGTATGAGTCCGATTGTGAACGAGGACATATAATCAGTCAACGCACTAGCGTCTTGGCTCCCACGGCGCTATTAATAGTCATAGCTTCGAGGTAGTAGTTAATTTTGTCTATCCTGAAACCAGCATTAACATCCCATTTCTAACGAATTGGAAATCCAACGCCAACAGGTGCTATTTTAGACTGAGTAGGCAATTGAAAAGTGCAGTTTTCTCTCGACGAACAAAGACCAAACTACACAAGTCCTGTTCTGGTCCTGTTATATGGTGCGGAGGCATGGACGATGACAACAGCTGATGAAAGTTTTTCAGAGAAAGATTTTGCATAAAATTTATAGTGCTCTGCGAGTTGCAAACGGTGAATACTGCAGCCGATAGAACGATAAGATGTACGAGATATACGTCGGAATTGGCATAGTTCACCGAATCAAGAGGCGACGGTTACACTTCGAAAGCTTTAGTTGCAGTATCAGCTAGTTGAAGCAGAGGAAGAAGAAGTACTTTAATCAGTTGGAAAGACCGGGTGGGTAAGGTCCCGGCTGTATTTGAGTAATCAGGTGCCAGAGCGAGGTGCGATCCAGAAAGGTGTAAAAAGGGACAGCATGAGATTGGATTGGATAGGATTGTATATTATAGGAAATGGTACAATAGAATGCGATAACATGGCTTAGAATAGGATATGAAATAATCTATCTGGGTTATAAGTCGCAAAGGGTCACTTTACTCTTTACTTTCTGAAATATAAACTTATACGTCGTTAAGGGAAGAGTTTATTCTTGTAAAAAAATTTAGAAATCTTTTAGAAGATTGTATAGTTTAGTTCGAAGTGTGTCGATAACAGTAGGAAAAAAGAGACACTCATCAAAATGTATACCGTCAGTCATGTTTATTAGTCTCTTTGTCTGTTCGTACATTCACTATCTATTTCATAAGCAACTAGTAAAATTGGAAATTTCACACTGGAATATGTTTTGCAATCCAAACACAAGCGAACAAATAATAAATACTTTGAAATAAACAAATAAAATTCAACTTTGTATCAATTTCAAAAACGCAACAACAACAATATTTATCATGTTTATCATTACTCGCAGTTAAAATAATAAACAAAAATGTACACAATAATATTTCACAAAGCGTACGAAGTGCTTGCAAGCTTTTATTGTGTTTACCAAAGCTTTTGTGCTTTTGCGTAAAATCAAATAAAGAGAAATTGCATCGCGCAAGAGTTTAAAATAATAAGAAAATTTGCCAATTTTATGACCCCAAGAAATTGTTATTTGCAATACAAAACAAACAAGAATCTAACTTCTTCTTCTATGACTCTTAAGAAACCGCTGTGTGGAGAGACGGGGTAAGCAGATAATTTAAATGAAAACGAAAAGCAAACAGGAAAATTTTGCTCGTCAAATTACGGAAAGTTTCAAAGTAATGCAAGAGTGGCTGAGGTTGTGAGGAGGAAACGAGGAAAGGGTTTCAGAGAAATTTCGTCAAATGTTTGAAATGTGTTTTGTGTTTAGTTTTCTTCGTAGTTCTGAGCAAATACAAAGGATGTACATACATATATGTATATATATGAGTATCTTTTTGTAGTCAAATAATAATAATCGTTTATGTACAAATGCATATATATATGTATTAACTATGCACTCGTATATATGCCAGTGTTTACTCTGGCACTTGGCCACGCTCAATTACTTGGCGCATTGAAAGTTTCTACTTCTCAAGTGACAAAGAAGTTTTATTACCAAATAAATTTGGCTTAAAACATCTTGTTTGTACGACTTCAAAGTGAAATAATATCAATTTTTAATTACCATAAAAGATTTCAGATTGAATTGAGTTCAGAGTTACGCGGGTATTTTCATGTCTTCATTAAGCAAGAGAATATAAAATATATTTTTAATACTGATTGACCGATCGACTTCGCCGGGGCCCGAAATATGGTTGTCCGTAGTACTAGATTCCAGCGCAAAATCACAAAGTTGCTCGGCTGTCCCCCAATGAAAAACTCAATACCAGATTGATCTTGTTTTGTTAGTAGGAATACATCTCTCAAGTGTTCTTCATGAGCACCCAATATCGACACGGATCACTATCTTGTTGCAGCGAAAATATGCACCCGCCTTTGGGCACCAAAGAACGCTCGTCAGCAAACACAAGGAAGGTTCGAGGTCGGAACGCTGTAATCACAACAGACAGTCTAACGGTTTTCTACTCGTTTTGCACAACTGCTCTCTGAAAACACTGATCAGCAACTCGACATAAGGGACCAGTGGGACGGCATTTCAAGCCTTTTACGTACAGCTGCAAATGAAACTATTGCATTTCGGAAAGGCAGTACGATAAGAACTATCGGTACGGAGTGAAAAGATTGCCTACTTCGCAACCTTGCAATCGACCACAATACAAGCGGGGTGGGTTTGAAACCGAGAGCTGAAGAGGAAAGCAAGATACATTTGCAGACAAAAAAAGAGAGAGGTCGAAGAGCTTGAGATGTTAGCCGAGAAGTGTAATGCTCGAAATTTTCGTAGAATTTTCCACGGCTTATAGGAGACTCCAAGATCGAAGCAAACTCTTGTAGGACCCTTAGGGGTGATCTAGTGAAGGATGCTCAGAGTATACTGAATCAATGGAGGGAACTCTTCTCCAGTCTGCTGAATGGCAAAGAAAATCAAACGATGGTGAGCCCGACCGACTATGACAAGGTTCTAGTAGTAGATCGAGCGCTTGGAGCTGGCGATCTACCCGCAGAGCAATGCTTCAGCTTATTTGCAGACAAAAAACAGAAAGAAGCCGAAATACGTGAGCTTAAGAGGCTGGCCGATAAGGGTAATGCTCGAAAATTTTACGAAAAGTTGCGGCGTCTTACGGAAGGTTTCAAGACCGAAGCAAACTCTTATAGGACCCAATAAGGTGATCTAATGACGGAACAACAAAGCGGCTGTAGCTGACAGACAGCTTAATTGCAGTATACGGTTGGACGACAGCTTGTCCAGTGAATGCAATTTAAGCTTGCTCTACCCAATCCAAAAAGACATTACTTAATGGTCTGCACAAGTTGAGCAGCAGCGGTCTGTACTACATGTTTTTTAATTGTATCATTCTACTATCGTCGTGTGCCAAAATCATTGGTTGTTCCAC